TGTCTTCAGTTGTTTCCATTTGCTCATTTAATTAAAAATGGTCTCATCTTCCAAGTATTTGAAGCCCTATGAATTCCAGCTTTCAAACTGGATTTTCAGCCTTCCTAACACGCCAGTGTGTATGGAGAGATACACTAGTACTCATTTTAGCCAAGTGCCACATTTGGTCAAAACCAAGATAGAAGCCAAACTTAAAGATCACTTCTGGGATATGAAGATACATATGACATTTTATTAAAAATTCCCCTTTGTTTCCCATTTTATTGTTAAAAATTATAATTATCAAATGTGTGTGTGTTACATTATACTGTGGGAACAATTATTTCTTGGGATTCTCAATTCCTAGATCTTAAAAATATTTCTTTAAGATTATATTTATTTGAGAGAGGGCAAGAGAGGGTGGGGGGTGGCGCACAAGAGGTGGGAGGGGCAGAGGGAGAGGGAGAAGACTGCACTTAGCTCTGAGCCTGATGCGGGGCTTGATCTCATGACGCTAAGATTATGACCTGAGTGGAAATCAAGAGTCAGGTACTTAGCTGACTGAGCCACCCAGGCACAGCTTAAAAATTTTTTTGAACACGTTTGCAAGTACAAATGCATTCTTCTTTTCAAGGGATACATTTAAAATGTTGGTAACTTTTTTTTTTTTTGATAACCCAAAATATAATACAGGTCTTTAGTATCATGTTTTCTTGAAGAACCTTTGTTCTTCGGATTTATGGCTTATATAAATATCAAAAACTCTTCTCTTCAACTAAGGAAAATAGGTGGCAGTCTATAAATAATATTTCAACTTTTTTTTTGTTTGTTTAACAATTTAACCACTTAGGATTCAAAACTACACAGCATTATCTTCTTAAATTATTCTTATAAACTCTGTGATTTTTAAGTTTGAGTAAATAGTTAAAGCAAACTGTGGGTACCTCTTTTTTCCTCTAACATTTTCTTCCTTTTTCACATTCTTTGTATTCTTAACTGTATCTGGGTGAAAAATGATTTATTATTGATATTGAACATGGCTTTTTGTTATTTTTTGCTTTTTTCCCCATCTTTGTGTTTGTTTTGGACTTTAGTTTCTCCTTGCATTAAATTTTTAAGGGGAAAAGTTGGCTTTTTTTAGTTTTTCTCACAAGATTTCAAGAAATGCCACATGGTAACTTTTCTACAAAAAAATTTATGGCCTAAACTTAGTTAATCCACTGTAAGTTAACTGCATGTTAAAGGATATTTTGTTTGATGTTAGGAATGCTAATATAAGATAGAATTCCTAGTACTTTGCCCTGAATTATTTAATTTTTTTGCATTATTTAATTTTTATGAACATTTGATAACACCATGACAATAATGTTGTTTTATTACATTTTCTAGTTAACTATTTTTCTTAATATTTCTATTAAATAATAGGTTATTATTTGTATGTTTATAGATTATTTTTTCAACTAGTAGAAAGTGTTAATTGCTTTTGGACATTATATTAATAGCTATCACAATCATTAAGCAATATACCACTTTGTCATAATAATAAATATACGTTATACTAAAGCTGACTAATTGAATTTCTACCTATAAAATACTTGAAGAGATATTACTTCAATTTACATCTAGAATGAATTCTCCAGTTTCCTGATTCTGAAATTGGGATGATTTCCTACCTCTACCACCCCCCTAACTCCTACCTCTCCCACCCCCCTAACCTCCTAACTCTACCACCAGGGAAATTCGGCAATGTTTGGAGACATTTTTGGTTGTTACAATTGGGGAGGGGCCTAGAAACTGAATTCTCCAGTTAATCTTACTATAATAGGACACTTCATCAGCTAGCCCAGTAGTTCCCAACCAGTGGTGATGCTTCCTCACCCTCGAACCCCAGAAATGTTTTAAAATATCAGTGACTGGTTGTTGAGACAACTAGAGAAGGGAAACATGGCCTTTGGTGGGCAGGGGACAGGGTTTTCGTCTGTCCTGTAATGTATGTCATAGTCACATGCAACAAACTGTGGTCTTACCCAGAATAGCAATAACATGTTAATGGAGAGACACTGGTCTAATCATCAGATCAACAGGTGTGCACCTGCCAATTACGCATCTGTAGTCCAGTCAGCTGTAGCTCTGTCCAGGATGATGCCGGTCTTGTGTTTACCCTTGTACTTAGGACTCCCTTGTGCTCAGGGACAATGGTTAGAACAATTCTCCACGGAAGGGTCTGTGGATATGTAAGATGTTTTGGCATAACATAGCATAGTGACACAGGTAGCACTGAAGTCCAGACTTCATCAATAAAGCTTTCACGAAAATTTTAAGCTTTCTCAAAATTTTAGGCATCTGCCATATTAGGCATCATATCAAAGTTTTTATATATCTGTTTCATTGTGATTTACTATTCAGAACTAGAGTATCAACAATGCATTATTTTAACAAGTACTTTAAGGATGCCCAGCTAACAAGTGAATCACTTTAATTTGCAATACAGACCGTAGGAGCTGTTAGTATGTGAAAGGTACTGATTTTGACTCTTCTTTCCCCAGACAGCTTTTAAAAAGCGTCAACTGTTTAACCTATATCAACGTCAAGGTAGTTTATGTTACAAATAACTTTAAATGAGTGAAATGAATCCTAATCTCTAAGGGTGAGGATTATTGCTGTCTTTCTTGAAGAGGGAATAAGAATCTGGTTAACCTAGTGGATCCTGTGACCCATCACTTAATTGAGAATTGTCCAATCAGACTAAAGACTGGATGAATCCTGACACTAAAATATTGTCTCATCCCCCTTGAGAGAACCTTCACACAAAATAGTTCACATTTGATAGAGTACATAAGGGAAAGACCTGGCATGCCACAGGGCTTGAGAGAACAGATTGATTGGATGGCAACACATAAATCTGCTTGCTAACATTCAAAGTTTTGGATGTCTGGAAGAATTTAGTCTGTTTAGTTGCAAAGTAATGTAGCGCCTGATCATGGGGCTATAAGCCCCTCCAGCTCTCATCATAGAAACCAACTGATTCCTACCACGGAGACCCTGTCTGAACTGCTTTACGACGCTATGCGTTTCTATTACTCAGTAGAGGCAAACTTTTGGATGGCAGTCATAGTTTCCCATTCATCTCATTCATTCAGTAGCATTCTTTACAATGTCTACAACGTGCCAGGCATCCTGCTTTCTCTCCTCCATCTAGTATCAAATTCAACCCTACAAATATTAGAGAGACCTGGAGAGCATTCACACCTTATACAGATGAAGAAACGCATTGGAAAAGTATAAGTAGTTTGCCTAAGTCATTGACAAAGTAGGATTAAGTGTAGATTTCATGAATTAAAAAAAAAAAATCCCACCATTAATTTCTCAAAAAAAACCCAAAAACCAAAAAACAAAAAACAAAAAACAAATACACAGTGCCTTACATGTAATTTGCATGTAATAGGTTGTTAATACATACTTTATAGTACAATTTATCTTCTAAATTTCTGAGTATGCAGAAAGACTCGAGCACCTAGCTGGCTGTCATGAATCAGGACGATTTTGCTGTCCAGGGACTTCTGTGGTTGGACAACTGCATCATGAGGATAATCCTCCAGACTCGTGGTTTGTAAGCTGAAATCTGAGGATTCTGTGTCCTGAGAGCATCTAGAGAAGGGCAAAGAGAAGCCATTTGGGCAAGATTCTGTGACCACTGACCACCTCACTACAGCTTCACCCTGAGTATTTTTCCTTAGCTTCTGAAAAATACACATATAAAAGTACTCTGTTTTGGAAGGGAAATTCCCAGCTTTCAGACAAATAGGAAGGCGTTCAGTTAGATGAATGATAATTTTACCTTAGGTCTAAACAGTTTGGTGCTGAGTGAAAATTAACTGTCACAAAGAAGTTCATCCATTTTGACTGAGTTCAAGATAGAATTATCATAGAATGATAACATTAATTTATTTCCCAGATAAAATCCATTTATTACACACACACCCTTCATATCTTCACTCAAGATGTCTTCAGAGCACCTGTTGGAATAAAAATGTTTACAAGCTGACAAGCTTCTGAAGGAGAGAGAAAAGATCATGAAATAAAACTCTCAGGAACCAAAGGAGAGTCTTAAAAGTAGTGCTAGAGATTGGCCGGAATGTCAACTTATTCAGGAAGTGATTAGCACAGATATTATCATTTTCTTGGGGAAAGCTATACATCTGGCCGGCCAAAACTCTATAAATCAGCAATGTAACCAGAGTTGGGAATTCCATTAGCCCTTGATTTTGAGGAGGTTAGCATTTTAAAAAACCTAGCTAAAATACTTATGAAAAACAATCCTCTCTGAACTGTGTGTGTGTGTGTGTGTGTGTGTGTGTGCACTTGGAGTCAAGCATTAAAAAAATGAACACTGCTCGCTGCTGCAGTCCCCTGACAGCACATGTGGCTGAAAAATCACCAGAGTTGGCTGCTTTTGTTGCTAATAGCAGAGCACTTGGTTTTACCTGCGACAAGACTCTTTGACAGTTCTTTTGAACTAACTTCGGCTGTTCCTCCCTCTGTCAGAGAAAGTCAGACTTGAAACCTCGCATACCCTGTAGGGTGGAGGGATTCCCTAAATTAGAGAAATATGGGTGTTTTTTCCCACCTCCCTTCCCCCAGGCTCGGTGCTTTATCCAATACACAAAAAGACTGACATTTCCTGTCTGCTCCACCCTTTTTGATATGTGTGCCCAAATTCTGCAGAGGTTTTCAGACTTTTAATTTGTTTAACAGCCTGATTCTAAAATTAAAAGTATTTGGGTATATTCTAACTGGCTGAAATGGAATTTATCTCTTATTTCCTCTTTCAAAGAAGCTCAATATATTACAGGAGGCAATTTATAATATGGGCTATTTTTGGTAATTTGTCAGCTATTGAAATGAGTTCCGTTTGGCTTGGTTTGACTCTATAAAAATAAATTGTAATAGTGTCTGTAGAATCAAAATGGGGCCCTGTTACTTGAAATGTCCTTGGCACATATAGGTTTTCTTTTTTTTAGGGTACCCAAGTTCCGGATGAAGCCAAAGTGAAGGAGAACATGAAGCACTAGAGAAAGGAGTTTGAACAGAAAGGGAGAGACATGAAAACTCAGATAAGGAATGCTCATAACTTCCTTAAGATCTTTTAAATTATTAAAAATTGTTCTCCTGTTATGAGAATTCTTTACATTAACGTTTGCTAATTAGCCTTTTGAAAAAGATGCATTCTCTGAGCCTTTTGAGGAGTTCAGTGGTCATTTTATAAATATTATTATGTGTTGAAATTCAGAGAATGAAAATTATTCCAAAAAGAAAGCAAGAACCCACTTGTGGATTTGGATAGAAGTTATTTTGAATTTCCAGAAAAAAAAATGCTTTTTTGGGTGGTAACTGGTTTGTTTCTGTTAATTCATCAATAGATCATAAGATTGAGAGTGGTGTTCTATTTGATTTTGTTTTTAAAGCTTCAGAACCCTCACTTGAAAAGGAGAGGATTTTTTAGAATTTATTTATTTGACAGAGAGTGTGCACACAGAAACGGGGGAGTGGCAGAGGGAGAAGGAGAAGAGGAACAGGGAGCCTGATGTGGGGCTTGATCCCAGGACCCTGGGATCATGACCCAAGCCGAAGGCAGATGTTCAACCAACTGAGCCACTCAGGGGCCCCAAAATGAGAGAATTTTAGCTTGACTCTTTACAATAAATGATTTTAATTCTTTAGCTACTTCCAAGGTCCCATTTGACACTTTGATTTCATATATAGTAGTAATTTGCCAGGTATTGAAAATTCATATGTGGATTGAAATAAAAATGTCAAATGGAAGCTTGGGATATTTACACACATAGATAAGAGTTACACATGAGAAGGGCTTCAAGGCGTGTGTATCTCTCATAGAACTGGTTTTCATGAGGTGCAGATAGAAGTCTTAGGATTATATTTCATTCTGCTGCATTGCTATTAAAGGAATTTGCCATTATTACCATTTTTATAGCCTCCAAACACCAGATTTTCCAATAGAAGTGCAGTGATCCACTGACCACTGTTGCATTTTACCTGAACAGCTCATTTTGCACACTCATATCAGGGGCCCTGGATGGAATTATAAGGCATGTAGGCCTGACTTCTCTAATTTATCATTATCTGTTACAGAAGCTGAAAACTCTATTTTGGCATATAGTGATTTCTTTCTGAGGAATAAAAGCATTGTGCAGGATCTAGATTAATTTCTTTTTTTAAAGATTTTTTTTTATTTATTTAAGAGAATGAGCAAAGCAAGAGGGAGAAGCAGACTCTCTGCTGAGCAGGGAGCTCGATGGTGTGGGGCACGATCCTGGCACTCCAGGATCATGACCTGGGCCAAGGCCAGACACTTAACCAATTGAGCCACCCAGGTACCCATAGGTTAACTTCTTAAATTACCTACTGGGTTTTTTTGACCTCTATATTATCTAGAACTGTAACTTTTTACCCTGCTGTATGCAGCTCCCATATTAGAATGGCCCACTTTGGGATTTTTTTTTAAAATGTAACATAGTCATTAAGAGCAGATGCACCAAAGCCCAAAGGCAGGAACTTCAAGCATGGGTCCACCATGTTAGAGCTGTGAACCTGACAAGATCTTTGAATGAATGAACATTATTAGAGATTATTATTTTTCATCTTGTATTGTATATTGTATCACTTGTATAAATTATATTTTAGATATTGTTAAAAGACCCTAAAATAATTAGATACCAAAATCTTAATATCAGGATGTGTCTCTGTGGAAAAGTAAATGAATAATGATCTAGTTAATTAGATTTAATGTGGATTGCTGATCTAGAAAATCCAAATTTAAAATCTCAAATGACCATTTTTTCCTTAGCTTATGGAGTTTGAGGGGAGGCGAATTATCAGTCAATGATAAACAGTTATTTGAGGGTCCATTTCCAACACCACAGTCTTTTATGTACCATGAGAGATAGCTATGATAATAAAAGTATAGTAAGTACTTTGCTCTGTCAGGAGGAGTCTCTTAGTCAATATAATGGCAGCAAACAAGAGCGGCCACAACTCACTCACCGAGATCTTTCCTCAAACTGGTTGAAAAGAGATGCCTTCCAGATCAGAAGCTTTGTGTGCCACCGCCACCACCAGACCTACTATATTTGGTGCCCCAGTTTGGTTCAGTCCACGATGTTAGCTGGAAGAATGGATTTCCCAAGCTCTCAGTAGAAAGAAAATCAAGAATAAACTGTGACTAACAAGTTGGATCGGAATGAGCACAGCTGCACTGTGATCGTCTGTTTGGGAGAAAACAGCATCAGGGCTTTTCCCCAATCATGCTACATCAGAACCCATTCATAAAACTGTCACCGTGAAATAGCAGATGCTCTGTAAATGGCCTGATGATCTGGATATTGGGCATCTGAAGACAAGTAAGACTGCTTGTTTCCTGAACCATGAATATACTCACACGGTGCGCCCGCCACTCTCTAAGTGGTCTCAGCATACATGGATTTATCCATACCTCTATAGGCAGGTAATACATACCTAGAAAATATATTACTTTCCAACTCCCTTAACAACTGTTCATCACTGATACTTTGTGAGCACCTTCCTTAAGGAAAACCTCAACGTGTCACGGGGACATTTATAGCATGACCAGTGTTTGATTGAAAAAATCTGGTTTTTGTCTGTTTCTTGAGTGATCCAGAATCATTTTCAGATAAGACTATCCATATCCCAGCTATAAACCATCTGCAGCACAGCTAGCTTTTAAAAGTGACATGCAGTCATATTCCACCGCTATTACCAGAGCGTCTTAAACATTTTCTCAACATCTCAGACTTTTTTTTTTTTCCCCCTGCTAGGCAGCTGCGTGCTTGGAGAGTTCCCAGCATCAGTTGTGCCAGAGTTAAAAATCACCTAACACCCACATAAAGATTTTACCCCCCTTTATGAATTGGGCTTTAAATCTTTACCTTGATTTAGTGAGAAAATAAAATTGGGGCAATAGTCAATGTCTCATTTGTATATATTTGTATGAATTCTGTAACCTGGAGGATATCTCCAATCCGAGGAAATGTAACCATTAACCCACAGCTAAACAGTTTGCAAAGAAGCCTTTTCAAGGAATAGCTTTTAAATGCCCAAGGAGCTCAATCTAACGGCAGAGATATTTGAAATATACACAAACATACAAGGCTTTTAGATAAACACATTTTCAGGGAGCTTTTGATGAAAGTGATAAGTTACATTCTCTACAACTACACACACTGTATTTTATTACCCTTCAGTAGACACTTATCAGCTATAAATGTTGGGTGGTTTAGGCTAGGAATCAACCCTGAGGGAAACAGTGGGAGGACTCTGGGACTCACAGTTCTATAGATCAACATAAACCTGAGACTCAATTTTATTTTCATTTATTAAAAAGGTCTGTGGTCCGCTTCTGCAATTTCAAATCCATTAGCTTCCTGCCTCCTTTAAGAAAAAAAAGAAGGTAACTGCAGATTTTATGGACTGATTGGTGATGGCTATGCTACTGCTCTATTGGTTTTGAGTGGAGAGTCCATTACAGATACATTATCCATAAACCATGTTTCCAGTGGAACCCGTAGCTTCCAATCTGACTGGGGAATGAGTGGAGTTGGCTTGGTCAAAGAGAGGCTGGGGAAAGGGTCAGGTCTCTTGGAAGCTAACACAGGGTAGGCACCGGTATAAATTACAAACGTTCTTCCTACTTCCACATAATTATGTCTCAAATGTGCAGCGGTTGGATTTCGTTAACCAGGCACCAGATGAACTTGGAAATCATATCGACAGTAGATTAGAGTGGGAGTTTTCAACCTTTTTCCCTGCCATGTATGTTCAAACAATATATTTGTCTGTCTTTGAAACTCCCTGCTCTGGGCTGTTCATATTCGACAGCTGACCGTGCCCATATGGTTTTTCCTAGTCTCAGGTGTGCTATGTTTAAGCCTTTTTCAACAAAGATGCAAAAACATTTTTAATGGCAATAAAACAGATGAAAATACGGTTTTCTAGTTCCCTCTGTAACCCTAAATCTTTGATTTCCAAAAAGAAAACAAAAGTTAAATAAGTCCTCTGGTGTGATTGCTTGATTTCTGTATTCGATAACTTTTCTCTCTGTGAAAGGGACAGAAGAACAATGAGAACAGTACAACTGGCATTCGTGTAATGAAGACTTAGGGACAAGTCTTGTTGATGTTTGAATTTTAGTACGCTACAGACTTTATGCTTGGCACACGGTAAATGCCCTATGAATTTGTCAAATGGAGCTGGATTTTTTTTAGGTGTAATCAATCGCATGAAACTAATATATTCACTCTTACAATGGAAAGCTATTTCTTTTCCATTATTAAGGCAAAGGCAATGTCACTTAGGTAAAACTCAACAAGAATTTTTTATTTATTTATTTATTTATGATAGTCACACACAGAGAGAGAGAGGCAGAGACACAGGCAGAGGGAGAAGCAGGCTCCATGCACCGGGAGCCCGACGTGGGATTTGATCCCGGGTCTCCAGGATCGCGCCCTGGGCCAAAGGCAGGCGCCAAACCACTGCGCCACCCAGGGATCCCTCAACAAGAATTTAATTCCTTTTTTTTCTGATGGCTTTAATTTATGCGGTCCTTTTCAATCCACTCCCTATGCATTCCTATCTCTACAACCTGAAGTTTCTACTTGGATTTGCCAGTGTGCGTCGAAGATGTGGAGGGGTCTTATATATCTCTCCCTAATATTTGGGGTTTGTCTAAATGGAGCATTCAGAGAGCCTACTCTGAATTTTTTTTTTACTGTGTTTTTTTTTAAAGATTTATTTATATTTATTTATTTATTTATTTATTTATTTATTCATGATAGACATAGAGAGAGAGAGAGGCAGAGACACAGGAGGAGGGAGAAACAGGCTCCATGCCAGGAGCCCAACGTGGGGCTCGATCCCGGGTCTCCAGGATCACGCCCCGGGCCAAAGGCAGGCACTAAACCACTGAGCCACCCAGGGATCCCCTGTATTTTTTTTTAAAGCCTTTTTTTGGTTCACAGAAAGATTGAGAGGAGAGTATAGAGATTTCTCATATACTCTCCACCC